ACCTCCATTGGTGTATTATTGGTGCAATGCTGCTCTCTGGACACAGTGTGACTATCTGGCTTTTTATGTGATGGTGTAATCTGGATTTGTCATCTTGCTGTTGCTTATTTTCCTTGCAATTTTCACGAATTAAAAATTTGGCGATTTCCGTTCCTAATTCCGTTATTTTTTTTTTTTACTGCTCGTTATCTGATAGATGCCTCCCTAATTCTCAAAATCGACAGATTTCAAAAAAAAAAAAAAGAGCTTTTTCTTTTTCATTTTTTTTTTCTTCTGTTGATTAGTACCCGGGATTGGAAATTCCAGTCCGGACGTTTGCCTGTCTGCATGATTTCTTCCCACCCCTCTTTGTACTACGGCAGCGCCACGTCAGCAAGTGCCATGTCAGCAAAGTGCCACGTCAGCAGCAGGGCCACGGCAGCAGTGCTGCGTCAGCCGACACAGTACAGCTAACCACAGCTTATGCTCCGACGCAGCAAACGCATCGCAGCACGTGAAGGGCGGGTAGCTGCAGCAGAACAGCAGCTACCCCTGCCCCTCCTCTCTGAAATGGACAACGTGGCATCCGGCAGTCCACGCGAGGTATGCAGTATGAACCCCCTTGTCCCACAGGTCCAGCAGGTGAGTTCCACTGCGACACCCACGGGAGTTCTCGACACTGCACCAGTCCGGCAGCAGGGTGAGACAATGACGGCCTTCTTGGCCCGCCTGGCCACCTACATGCAACAAGTACAAGAACAGCGACGCGAGGCGGCAGCCAAACCCGCACGCCTCAACGCCATTGCACGCTGGCAGCACGCTGAAGCAGTTGCCAACCATAATAAAGCTCGACAAGATGCCGCATCCGTCCTGCAGCAGGAAGCAGTTCATACTGCCGCTCCCCAAGCATGGAATTTCGATCTGGCGGAGACGCACACGGAACCAAGTGTGGAGGAACAGACCAAGTCAGCTCTCTCCAACATCATGCAGTAAGTCATCCTCACTTGTAACTGGCAACGAGTGGAGCTGGCCCGACAGGCACATATCATTTCCGATTATGAGGAGACTCTCAAGCGTCTACATGCCCGCCTTGACTTGCTGAAGAAGGATGACGTGCCGCACAGGCACACGGCATCCACCAAGGAAGCCGGTCAACACGCGAATGGCTAACCAAGTGGCAGAAACTTGTGATGATTTCGAACCTGGATATACCATTCGTGCATCTTCGTCACAAATTCTTCCAACGGTCGGTTGACGCATTGAGCACGGCCCTTGGGGAGCGCAGCCTGTACACGGACTTTGACCAGATCATGGAAAAGGCGCGCGAAGTAATTCAAACAAATCGGTGGGCCGCCAACGAGCGGCGCAGCCAACCGAATTTTGTGGAGAAGGGCAATGGCTCGTGGACACAGCAAGTCGCTGCTGTCCAATTCGATGGACAAGAGAACGACCAGGCATGTTACATGCTGCGCCTGAAACGAGGGCCATTTTCAGGCCCTGTGTTGTTTTCAGCCTAAATGCCTGAAGACAGGCCTGTGTCGTTTTCAGCCTAAAAGCAGGGTTGCACCGGCGCCGACCGCCGACCCCGACGGCTGACCGTTTCGTCCCGACCGATCGGGGCCGACCGGTCGGCGGTCCACCGACCAGTCAGAAAACAGGCATCCGCTGCTTTTCTTTTTTTTCCTGATTGCGCAGCCTTACTGCGCTTGCTGAGTATAGCCCAAATCCGCAGAGAAACTTTTTGGGATGGGGGAGGGGTATTGGGGGTTGGGGTTGGGGCATTCCTGCGGCGCAAGTGTGCTGGTCACCAATGCGCAAAAAAGAAAAAAAGAAAAAAAAAGAAAAAAAAAGAAAAAACGGTGGTTATGTGTGAGAACACGCAAAAGAGAGAGAGAGAGAGAGAGAGAGAGAGAGAGTAAGGGGGGGAAATGTAAACAAATAGCTCCTTAATATTTATTTCAACCCCCCTGCGGGTGATCCGAGAGGGCCCTGCAGACAATCAGCAAGGGCCACGTTGCCATGAATGAGGTAGTAGTCATGCCGTTGATTCACTTTAAGGTCCGTGTTTCAGCAGTTATGGGACCACTGAGCACGCGAGTTTCTGGGCAGTAGCAGGCCAACTCACCACGTGTTTTTCAGGGCCTCCCTACACTACAAATGTGCAAAACTAGAATGAATCTTCTGCTAGAACATGGAACCGTACGCCGCCATATGTTTTGTCTTTTGTGCAAGTGGTGACGAGTGAAGCAAGGCCCTTAGGCCCACTTGTCGTAGGAAAAGGAAACAAGAGAAGAGNTACGCCGCCATATGTTTTGTCTTTTGTGCAAGTGGTGACGAGTGAAGCAAGGCCCTTAGGCCCACTTGTCGTAGGAAAAGGAAACAAGAGAAGAGAGGAATGAATCTTCTGCTAGAACATGGAACCATACGCCGCCATATGTTTTGTCTTTTGTGCTTGTGACGAGTGGAGCAAGGCCCTTAGGGCCACTGCTCGTAGGAAAAAGAAACAAAAGAAAGAGAGAGTTAAGGTAGTAAGTAGTTGTAACTTGTAACCCATAACTGCTCGAAAGCTGACCTGACTTGGAACCAACTGCTGGCGTGCTCCTCTTTCATACGAAATTTGCTGAACATCTCTTGAGATGTTGGGACCCTTGCATATGTACTGCTGGGGTCCTCCGCGAAAAAGATTATTCAACAAGGAATACGTGGGCCCTATTTTTTTTTTTGTGGGGAGGTGCACCATTGGCTACCTCAGCCAGCCTTCTCCAAAAAAAAAATTATCCCCTATTTATTGGGGTGCGTCGCATCACGTGCGCGTGCATGCTTACACGTGCGTTATGCGCCGTACGTGCGGAGCTCGCGCGCACGCGATACGCCGCAGGTATGGGGTGGAGTATAAGCGGAGTATAGGGGTGATGTAGGGGATATTGGGGGGGTTAATAAGGATGTTGGGGGCGGTTCGGGAGTGTTAGGTTGGTGTATGCAGGTATTGGGGGCCGCTATGGGGGTGTGGGTGGGGTTATTAGGGGTTCTGGATCCCAAAAACAAAAAAAAAACCAAAAAGTGCGGGGTGCCGATGATCCCCGACTGCTAGGTGCCGACCAGTCAAGGGCCGCCGACCGTCGGGGTGTGCAACACTGCCTAAAAGCCTGAAAACAAGGGCCTACAGGCCCTGTGTTGTTTCAGCCTAAAACAGGGCCCTCCAAGCCCTAAGTCTTTTCAGCCTGAAACGAAGGGCCATTTTCAGGCCCTCATAAGATCGACCTGCCCTGAAACTTAGGCACCAGACCAGGGTTTTAGCACAGCCCATTTTGGGCCTGTTTTCAAGACAACCTTTGTTTGAGCTTCAACGCCAGGGTCTGGCACGTTTTGGCATTGGCAAGAGCAGCCTCCTGGACGGGCTGGCATTATATAAGACTGGCCCGCCCTGCAGGCTGCAGGTAGTACATAGGGACTTCCAGGCACTTCACGTGCAGTTCAGGAGGCAGGAGGTAGTCTTTAGGATTCGACAGCACCATTCTGGAGGAGCGCTGCAGTAGTAGTAGTGGCGTTAGCAGTAGTCTTCAGCGCTGGGCGCTATAAGGAGCTAGAGTAGCACTGGAGAGAGAGAGATTGGGCGGAGGCTAGGGAGACTTACCTGCAGCACCATAGCTCCAGACCAGGGTTTTAGCACAGGCCATTTTGGGCCTGTTTTCAAGACAACCTTTGTTCGAGCTTCAACGCCAGGGTCTGGCTGGCACATTTTGGCATTGGCAAGAGCAGCCTCCTGGACGGGCGGGCCAGCACTATATAAGACTGGCCCGCCCTGCAGGCTGCAGGTAGTTCATAGGGACTTCCCAGGCACTTCACGTGCAGTTCAGGAGGCAGGAGGTAGTCTTCAGGATTCGGCAGCACCACTCTGGAGGAGCGCTGCAGTAGTAGTAGTGGCGTTAGCAGTAGTCTTCAGCGCTGGGCGCTATAAGGAGCTAGAGTAGCACTGGAGAGAGAGAGATTGGGCGGAGGCTAGGGAGACTTACCTGCAGCACCATAGCTCCAGACCAGGGTTTTAGCACAGGCCATTTTGGGCCTGTTTTCAAGACAACCTTTGTTCGAGCTTCAACGCCAGGGTCTGGCATGTTTTGGCATTGGCAAGAGCAGCCTCCTGGACGGGCTGGCACTATATAAGACTGGCCCGCCCTGCAGGCTGCAGGTAGTACATAGGGACTTCCAGGCACTTCACGTGCAGTTCAGGAGGCAAGAGGTAGTCTTCAGGATTTTGCAGCACCACTCTGGAGGAGCGCTGCAGTAGTAGTAGGGGCGTTAGCAGTAGTCTTCAGCGTTGGGCGCTATAAGGAGCTAGAGTAGCACTGGAGAGATAGAGATTGGGCGGAGGCCAGGGAGACTTACCTGCAGCGCCATAGCTCCAGCTCGTCGTCAAGGTACCTGCAGCACAGCGCCATCTTCATAGGTTAGTACCTGGAACATGAGAGAGAGAGAGAGAGAGAGAGAGAGAGAGAGAGAGAGAGAGAGAGAGAGAGAGAGAGAGAGAGAGAGTTCTT